TTTACAAGACCCTAAGGTTTTACACAATAGCCATGGCATTAAAATTTGTTGTATTTCCTGCATTGGAAAAGGATCTCTCTAAAATAATGAAGAATAAAAATAAAAGATAAAAATAATTACATTAAATTGATTAATTATGATTTTTGTATCTATTGTTTAATGAGATTAATTCATTCTTTTAAGGATATTTTTTATGAGTTATTTCTATATACCGCTATTTATTAGTATCATTATTATTTCATTAAATATTTCATGTTTATATATATTATATTTTCTTTATTTTAATTTGAAGTAATTCATTCTTTTTATAAAACAATTAGTTTCTTTATTTATTATTTTATTTATTATTATTTTCATTCAAGAGAAGTGAATGAATCTTTAAATTACAATTTAATTTATAATGACATTTTTTAATTTCATGTTTATTATTAATAATATGTTGTTTTTATGTTATTTCTCTTTTTGATAATTATTTTTATTTATCATTTTTATTTATTAATTATTTATTTTTCATGACATTTCATTATATCATTTTTAAATATATTATACTATTTAGAATATATTGTTTATTCTGATATTTTCTTATTTTTTCTTTTTTGAAAATTTATTTTCTGATGTTATTCTTTAATATTTATATTTAATATTTGTATTTATTTGAATATATTCTCTATTCGTTTATGTTATTTTATCTTCATTTCTTATGTTGTTATATATATTTGATACGTTATATAAATTGAATTTTATCTTTATTTTTATTATTTTTATTATATTCGATTTCTTATTCATGATTATTCATTCTTTAAATTATTTCATTATTATTTAAAATATAAAATATCCTTAATTTAATTAAAATATTATTAAAACTTATTATATATTATTTCTATTTTTTAGATAAACATTTATCTTTGTTTCATTCATTTCTATCATTTCGATGTTTTTCATTTATTTGATTTTCTTATTATTTCGTATTGTCTATTAAATAGTATTAAAATTAAGTACATCAAATTATTATTACATCATAAATACTAAATGGAATAATAAATAAAAATATTCCATTTATAAAATATTTCATTCTTTATCTTATTATTTCACTTTATTTATTTGGTTCTTTATTTATATATTTCTTTTCATTTTATTTAGTCTATTTATTATTTTCTTTATTTCTCTTTCTTTAGATTTATTATATTATTTTATATTTTTTATATCGTTTCATTTTATGTATTATTATTTTATTGTATTATGTTTTAAACATTTATTTAATTTAGTATTATGTTTTGTCATTCATTAAAATCATTAAATGTATGTTGAAGTATATTTGATAATTAATTTGATTTTATATATTCTTCTTTCACATTACTATGTTATTTTGTATTATCATTCATAAAATATTATTGTATTACTCTTATTTCATATTTCATTGTCATATTTATCGATATTGTTGTTTTATTAATTTGAAATAACAATAAATATATGAAATACTTGTAATATAATATTCATAAATATTTTGAAATGAATATATGATTGTATCAACATATTGATACATTATAACATTAAATATAATTGAAATAATTTGGTAATACACAAATAGAAAATAAGTTGTGTATATAAATAATCATTATATATTCATTATTCAGTTAGATTTGTTATACAAAATATATATTGAATTAAGATTATTTTAATTTTCAATTCTGATAATTCATGAATAACATTTGTGTTTTAGTTATTGATGAATTGATAATTGAATATAAATTAATACAGATCTTTTAATATATTATTTAGTATTGTTTTCAATCAGAAACTTTCAAATATATTGTATTATAAATAAGATTATCATCAAATCAGAAATATAAGAATAAGAAATATGAATATGATAATAAAATGATAAGTTTAACCAATCATAATATTTTGTTTGTTTGAAATAAAAATACACAATAAGAATAGAATATTTTTAGAGATGTAGAAAGAATTTTGACATTTTAACATTTCATCAAGTCATGAATGATATACAATGAGTATATAAATACAAAAATACAAAGAAGGCAAATAAATTTCAATTCAAATTCAAATAATGAATGGACAATAGAGAAATAGAAGTATATTAGTGTGATATATTTAAAGAGAAGAACTAATTAGAAATAAACAATGATTCTATTTATATTAATTGTTGTAATTAGTAAAGGATTGGAGACTGAACAATACAATGAACAAGGAAATAAAGATGATAATAAACATGAAGATAACATGGTTGATTCAACAAGAACTACACAACATAAACATGAGAATAAATATAACGATGATGAAAATACACAACATCAAACATATAATCGGTTGACTAATACCATTCAGTATATTCATAATAATATACATTTGATAGCTGAAACAACAACATCATCACAAGGAGCAAAAGAGGGTGTAACTTCAGGAAATACAGCAACAGTATCACAAGGAAGTGCAGCAACAGTGTCATCACAAGGAGATAAAAGTCTATCACAACCAGTAGAAGGAAACTCATCACCAGTAACACCAAACCCAGTATCACAAACTTCACAAACACCAGAAGCAGATTCACAACCTTCATCACCAACTCCACCAACTTCTCCCTCATCACCACAAACTTCATCAACTCCAACAACAAACCAACCATCACAACCACAGACTAACTCTGCCTCTTCAACTTCAACTCCACAATCACAAGATAAGCAAGATACAATACCTAATGAACAACACCCAAAACCAGAAGAACAACCACAAAAACCATCATCACAATCACAACAAAATCATCCACAACAAAATGAAAAACAAGATAACAAAAATACAACTACTTCTGATAATTCACATGATAAAACTAATAACAGTTCTGATGATATTTCTGATAATCACAATAACCTTGATGGGACATCACCTGTGTTTATGTTGTTGGCTTTTGTTATTCAGTTGATATTCTTCTAATTATTGTGTTTCTCTCTTTTTCTTTTCTTTTCGTATTCTTCTTTATCTTTTATTCATATGTCTATAAAATATTTCCTATATTTCATTCATGTTTAATGTTATTACAAAATTGAATTAATTCATATACATTTGAGATTAATGAATAACCAATATTATCAAAAATGACACGATAAAAGAATAAACATTGATATTAAAAGAAAATAAAAGAAAATAAATTAATAAATTCATAAGAAATAGAAAATGTCATGAATATATTATGAATGAATAAATAATAATGAAAACACAACATTTTAACACAAATATTATCATACAAATTGTTAGAATGGTTATTAATTAAATGAATAATAACATTTATAATCATATTTATATTAATTATATGTTGATTTATCATTATTGAAATAATGAAACAACAAATTAAAAATGAATATAAATAATTATGAAATAATTACAATATAAACTATTGGATGAATTAAATATTTGATTAATCATATGTAAATATATAAAATACGAATAAAATAAGTGAAGTATAAAGAGAATAATTGATATTAATATCATTTATATGATTCATTTATAACAATTTATTTTTAATTTATTATTATTTCTTCTTTATTTATTTATTGTTGTTCTTCTATGAATTTTTATTTTCTTTTCTTCTTTATTTTTTTTCTTATTCATCTCTATTTATTCTCTATTTAATATCACATTAACTCTTATTCTTCTTTTTATATTCTTCCATTTATTATCACTTAGTATTAATCTTGTCTACTTTTATTTTCTTCTTTCATTATGTATTTATTCTTTGTATTTTGTTCATTTTTTATTTGTTATTCATTGAGTTAATTCAAATAAAATTGTAAGAAATGACAATTCTTGTATAATGATTATTGATATTTAATGGTAGTTTGTATTTATTAAAAGAAATCAAAACATAATTAAAGTATAATTATAAATATATTCGAATATTATTATGTTAGTATGAAGTACTAAAATAAATAAAAGTAATACTATACATTTTTATTATGTTCAATCAAAGAATTTAATTGAAAATGATTGAATTGATTATTTTATTTTGGTCTTTTTTTATTCTTCTTGATAAACACAAATTAATAATAGAATATAGGAATAATTAATAAAAGAGTAAGAAAGATGAAATAGAAACAAAAGAATAAGTA